ATTATTATCACATATAGACATCCTCTGGATATATGAAGATATAAGTTTATAACATATATGTACACATATGTACACATAGCCTATAAAAATATCTATATGATAAACTTTTAAATGATCATATGTTGCAACCATATTTGGTAACAATATATTTAATTTATATATGCAAGTTTATTTGCCTTTGGGATGAATGTTTATAACATACAGTATGTCTACAATATAAGAATACATACATCAAGATGAATATGAAATTGTTCCAATTTTTAACAGGATTCAAGTATAACTGCTACATATGTGTTTTTATTTTACATGTACACATATTTCATACATGGAATTCAATATATGTACATATATTACATTTGTGTATGGGTTCTTGTTGAGCTTGTTCCTTCTACACAGTGAAATCAATCTTGATTTTAATATACACAATTTCATATTTATTAGGTTTTATGTTGCCCTGAGAATCCTGGAACAAATTCATCAAGAGTTCAAAAATTCATAGAGGTTTGTTCTGACTGTCCCAATGAATAATTAAGTCTGTAAATGATTCAATATCCAAATGCTTGTCCCATTGAGCTGAGCACATATCTGGTAATGCACTAATGCTTTGGGCTAAACTAAAACCTAATTAATTTCTGTGTTGACCCAAGCTTGCAGGTATAACTTAAATTCCCTGTTGATTTGAAAACTGCACTCACTTGCTTTAATACATTTTAATAACAATAATGACAGAGTGAGTCATGGAGGTGAATCACTGTTATTACCTGACTCATACCCTCATTAACTGACAATGAGAGCTGGGAGACAAAGCATATCAGTTCCAAAACAACCAAGACAACGGTGTGAGGCAGAGGGAAGAGAGTGAGCATCAGAGCCATGCTGTCCAGGCAACCGGATGGGACTCGGTAATTGTGTAAGATAGACATGCCACGTTAAGAAATGAAAACAATCAGGAGAGATTATTTTTTCTTCAAGACAAGTGCAAATAGAGGGGGGAGATACGGCAGAAGAGAAGCTGAGAGGGTGACATGACATCCCTCTTGATGAGATGAGTTTTCAGCCTACAATGGGAAGTGAGGAGTGACTCTTCTGTTCTGGCTGGAGGAGAAAGGTCATTACACTGGGAGTCAGAAGGGAAAACAGCTGGGTCCAGATAGAGTGGTGACAGGGTTTCTGCAGGGAGGAGAATCAGGCAGTCTAGTGGCATAAAGACAGAGCATTGACTGGCAGCACATTTGCACTCTGATTAGATGCATTCATATTTCTCAATTCCCACAATTATGCAAAAATGATTCTCCCATCGTACCAATGCACAGGACAAATGAGCACACACAGCTCTGTTGTAATGGGGTCCTATGCAAGCCCTGACCTTTACCAACCTTGTAACCACAGAGGACTGCAACAACATTGATAGAGCTTATCCACTCTAACACAGATGTCTGCTCAGCCTCCACCCTCCTCTGACAGAGGCTGTTGACCTCTCATACAAACACTGGATGAGCTATGAGAGTACACATCCACTAGAGGTATATCCTATATCATGTTAACCATCTTAACCACCACATTGATTATTTATCATCCACTATCTGAGCAGTTGAAATCATAAAGGTATTAACACATTGACATTGGGACAAGGTAGGGGGGATTCAGGGTGCTTTGAGACTCTAATGGGTGGAGAGGTTTTGTGCCACAACATGAGCTTGGCCAACAATAAGGGGTTGTTTTGATATTCAGAAATCTCAGCAGGAGACTTGGGAGCAATCACTGAGTCACTGATATTAAGCAAAACTCCTGCTAATGTACTTTGGCTATTATGGAAGTAAAAACATCCGTTATTTTCTCTTTAGTCTCAATCATTCAACCAGTGATGAAGTATGTGGTTGACCTCACATGCAGTCGAAATACAGTGTTATATTGTATTTTCTGACTTTTTGAAGAACCTGTGAGGTTTTACTGAACTTTATGTTTACAGATGACTAACTCTCTGTCTTCTGTCAGCTATTGTACAAGAAATCTAAGAAGCGAGTGAGTCCTGCCTCTGTGGGAATTTCCACCACAAGGCCTAATAACAACATGCCAGATTGTCCCTGCTCCCAAGAATAGAACAGGCAGTGAATGAATGGAACAAACCAGTGCATCCTCTCCATATATTCACCAACTGATGATTGGGTTTGGCAGAATGTTTCTTGAATAGGAAGATTACAACACAGACAGAAACGCTCTATGACCATACGCTCAGCCCGTTCGCCTCACTTAAAGCCACACTGACCTCGAACAGCACGGCCTTCTCTTACACTGTAGTTGGAAAAGGAGGTAAATCAGCCTGCTGCCCCTTTCCTGTTGTAGTTTCAAAAGGTAATCTGGATGGCGTGGATTGCATTGCAATGACATCACCCATGCCGAAAATCCAATAGTCGCATGAATGGGCTTTTGAAGAGAAAACACTCCAGTCAGCTGCACTAAGCCATGTGTACATACCAGTTAATGCCCAACTAAGCTAAAGGTTCTATAATGGAGTTTCACATTAACTCCTGAAAATGTAACATATGATCAAAACAAATCTGGTCTAAGCAGCTAAAACAGTAATTAAGTCTGCTGGGAATCAATTAATTAGAAAGAACTTCAGTATTATGCTGTAGAACTTTATCATTGAAATATCTAAATCAGAGCCGATATACATTTAATGACTTTACAGTGCTGAATGTGGCTATAAAGCCATATCACATCACATACACGGCCATGACTAAGGACCCTTCCACATTATTCTGTTGAAGCCACGGCAGCTGCTGTTATCAAAGGCCAAAGTAGGAGAAAAGATCTGCACACTTTGAAAATAGCTCCCAGAAATAATTAACATTTTGATCTGCAAGGATCTTGGTCAGGCTCTGTCAAATCCAGACAGTCAGTGACAGAGCCTGATGAAGATCATTGCAGATCGAAACGTTGCTGTTTTATGAACATTTCTGGGAGCTATTAGCACAGTGTGTGGATCTTTTTTCTTACTTTTGCCTTTAGATTAATCTTCTTGATCCAGCACCTGTTAAAGTGCTTTTGGATGTGTGTGCTTCACACCCAGCCTCTGTTATCATAAAATTAGCAAATGAAGTATTTTAGAGGTATGAAAAATAAAATGGCTTCTAAAAAATGTTTGAATAGTCTTAAAAATAACATGCAAAGATAATGACAGTCATATTAATGTTGAGCCCACTGTTATGGCTTTTACATGTATATTACTGGGCAGTAAAATGTAATGTGGGCAAAGAAGTAGTGCAATGATTTCCAAGGGCATTGCTGTCATTTGCTTGTCATTTGTTTAGAAATGTTATGATGAGCACTTGTGTCATTTACAATACAAATTTAATGACAACCAAAATTCGTCTGAATCATGTGAAATCAGTCACCATGTCAATTTTTGTATGAGCTACATGTTTTCATTGTTTTTCCAAGAACAAATAAAACAGATTATAGGGGGAGTCTTTCCTGCAGGAGAAAGAGGGTTTCCGGCTGCACTCAAACCCTTGCTTTAACTCAAGTTATTTAGCCTAATGTGCACTTTAGTCTGCCCAAGGAGGTCTGTTACCAGGAAAATGCAGGCAAATGCTCAGTCAATATCCACTAAAGCCAGCAATAATTAGTTGTACATTTTAAAACAGGCTTGAAGCCTTTTGCTGAGTCAGTCATGAGGCACTTTATGTGAGGGGTGTCTGTGGGCTACAGTTTACTGCCTTGGCCCAGATGATAATCTCAAATATGCCTGGGCTTGACAGCAAATGCGGGTAAAGACAAAGCCGGTGGACAGTGAGTGCACATTAACCTGAAGATGCATTTAATACAAGCACGAGCTGCACTGCAATATTGCAGACATTTACGTCAGTTTCACTGGCACTGGTCCTGTTGTAGGGAATCAGAACCACACATAAAGAAAATAGCACTGGTAATATTACAGTCTACTTTCAACTTCATCACACTGTTCTCTAATGTCAGCCAGGCTTTAAATACTGAGTGCCACAGAGTATTTTCCTCTGAGATCATTTTTTCTGGAGGTTTGAAGTCTGATGATTTTTTGGACACTGTAAACTGTCTGGGCCTGAGTTTTAAATTTGGTAATTTGGACCATAAACCTTGGAGAATGATTCTCCTGGAAAGTATGGAAAACAAATGTCACAATCTGTATTATTTCAGCAGTCAGCCTTATATTGTTTCACATTATGTGCAGTAGCCTGGAAGATTTCACAAAGTCCAAGGAATTTGGAGTGGGAGGGGACAGAAGTACCATTAAATTAATTTCAGAATTTCAATGTGTAGATATTTGATTTAACATCCAGAGATGAAGATCTCCTGTCCCCACCCACCCAGGCGATATTTACCTCTGTCCGGCAGAGTGTTTTCATTTTCCAGCACACTCAGCCCTGCATCATGAGTCTGGGCAGCGTCATCGTCAGCTGATCCTATGATGTGTATTAATCACTGACATTTAGACAATGCTCACTGCTCTCTTCACTCATTCATTTACTTGTGTAGCCCACCAAAAGGCAGGGGTGCTGGGGTGGGGGGGTGGGGGTGGAGGAGAATGATTCGGGGGGGGGGACTGGACAGGGGATTTGGGACAGGATTATATTTAATGTTTCAGGGCTCCATGAGTTTACCAGCAGCCTGAGCACATAAAACTAAAATGACAAATTAGTCAGAGGAGCTGTCAACTTTATCTCACCCCACAGAGATGTTTGCTTCAAGGATACGTCACCAAAACACAGGAAATCATTTCACATTACAGCTGTACAGCAAATAGCCCCAGAAAAAGACCAGTCAGGTCCTATGTCTTTTATAACTTAGGGATACTTTTCCATGCACGCACGCAAACACACGTCTGAGCGTGATGAGCGCGCATGCTTCCACAGCACCGTGCATTTCTTCTGAATTGCAAATTTGATACCCCCAGAAGCTACGCATAATGTGTAGCGAGTGAGCGCAGCACTTTTTCTGAATCCGGTTCCGGCGTGCCGACGACACCGATGCCTGTGCCCACAGACTGATCACAGGGCTTTTACCCGAACAGCACTGAATGGTAGCAGCAGAGAGACGGGTGCGGAGCGAGGGTTGCCAAACCCGGAGGATTTCTCACGGCTCACGGACTAGAATGCTCTTCTGTATGTATCCTCATGAACGGATGACAACCTCCAAACAAACCGTTACTGAAAACTTTCAGCTCTACATTTGACGCGGGGGTGATATTGAGATTTTAACCAGGTCCAAGAACAGACATCATGCAGGTGCAAACTGTGGCCTAACGGTACTGAAATGACTTGCTCGGCGCTGACGCGGTTCATTGTGCCATGCCAACCCCGCATTGTCAGATGCCATTTTACTCTGCGTTATCCCAGTGTCTGGAATTCCAACATACTGGGCCTGTTGTGTAATTAGAAGTTCGTGAGGCAGTAGCAAACAAGCTGGTGCAATGAGAAGCTACGCTGTCCAAGACATTGTGCGCAATTTCTGCTGAAGCTTATGGGTCCTGCGTACTCAAGCTCCCGGCTTCCACTTGGAGAGGTGTGCTGCGGGGCTACAGCGCACTGGCTGTCGGCTTCACATCTGGACCGCCTGGCTACTGTCATCTGCGGCCTGTTCGGACTGTGTACTCCCTGAACTTGTATGATTAAGGGGAACTGATTGAGATCGCCTCGGATGGTGTCGTGTTAGGGAGACGGGGTGAATATTCGGCCGGGACTTGACGTTATCGGTGATCCACTGGAACACCGTGGTCCAAAGCTGGACTGGCTGACTACTCAAGGAAAAAACGCTTATCCAGCTATGGATTTTGCGTAGCAAAGTCACGCATTTTTAAAGGCAACGCTAGGGTGACATTGCAGTCTTCTCACCACATCGGTTATTTCGTCGTCCGACAAAAAAATAAAAGAGTGAAAGTGGAGTATTGTCCGTCATACGTATCAACGCAGTGGGATTTCTACGTCTGGTCGGCGTTCCCCCCCACCCTTCCCGCGGTGACGGTTATGGGTCGGAAGCGGTGTGTCGGTGCAGATTGTTCCAAGATGGCGGCCGGGTGCTGCGGGGTGAAGAAGCAGAAACTGTCGGGATCGCCCGGGTCGGGGGGTCCCGGCGGGGTGGGGGCGGGAAGCGGGGTGGCAGGAACCGGACATTGTGGCTCGGAGTTGGGGATTGGCTCCTCCGCGACCGTTGCAGCAGCGGCGAACGTGAGCAGAGCCAACGGCCTGGGGGGACCCGGGGGTAACGTTAGTGGCAGCAGTAGTAGTAGTGGTAGCAGCGGCACAAACGCTCTGTCCCCAGCCCCGGCCGGTTACACTTCATCCGGCCTCTCCCCGAATCTCAGCCCGGGACCTGGTTCGGGAAGTGGAGGCAGAAAAATGGTGGTCTCGGCGGAGATGTGCTGCTTCTGTTTTGACGTGCTTTATTGCCATCTGTACGGATACCAACCTCCGAGAACACCCAGGTTTACAAATGATCCCTAGTGAGTATTTTTGTCTTTTGTTGTTTTGCTGCATGTCAAAGCTCATTGGTATCTTCTCTCAACAAATGTGTGCTGCGGTACACCTGATGGCTTCACCCTCAGTTCCTGCTTCACTTTTGAGAGCACTAACTGTCACATCGAAACAACGTTTTACTTATAATGAATTTAAAGCGAAAAACTCGCGACCACAGCTTAATTTGTCCAAGTTGGAATTCGGGCCTTGTCAAAGAGACAGTCTGCACTGGCCTGCAGCTACACTAGCCTAACATTAACGCTAAACTGAATCATCTGATATGTAATTACCGAGCTGTGTTACCTATTAGTGAATGATGTACCCTGTCACTTACTGATATCCCTTACTTGACGAAAAAATATTTTTACGATAGTGTTTGTCCAACTCGAATAATACTGGCTAACGTTAGCTAAGCCTGTTAGCTTTTAGCTAATACCAGCTAACCACTAACACTTAAAGAAAGGGTGGAACTAGCGAGATAACATCGTTTATTTTTTCGGTTTAACAGCAGCGGGTTTGCTTGTCCGGGTAGACATTTTTAAAGCGCCAAATATAAAACATCAAAAGTTAACATTTGTTTTCTTAATCTTTCAAGTTACCCTCAATGAACTCTGGATTGCCACATAATAGGCTTAGCTTTGTTAGCTATGAGCTACATTAGTTTGGTAACGAAGCACTAATAAGCATAAGCAAGTATTAATTAATTTAATGCTAGGTGTATTAAAAGTTTAATATCACGGTCAGGTAGTTGTTTAGATTAAAGCTGGTTTTGAATGGTAACGGTGAATGTACTGTGGAATTAAAGGAAACCTAACCGAGTTTGGCATCAACCAACAAAGAAACGGTGGTTCTTGCTAAGTACTTAGCAGTTCTAAGAATTCTTTACGGCCAAATATAAAAAATACTTTTAAGTTAATATAGGAAACAAACAGTATTTAATCAACTGTAGCACTCACTGAACATTAGGGTTTTTTTCTCAGCAAATTAACCATGAGAGTATTACATTTACATTTTCTGCCCATAACCGCACTCTTGCGCCCTCCACTGAAACATTGTAACATCTCCTTGCACAAACGTTGAAATGCGATAGCATGTGACTGCGGGCGTTTTACTTACATGTTGAGGCTGCAAAGGAATTGTTTACACTTGCAGCCATAGCTGACTCCTCCAGTGTACTGATCTGAAATGGCTGAAAAAACGTTTGGGCTTAATTGTTTACAAGGACCACGTTTAAATGTCTAAAAATTGCTGTATTGTTGTTTTAAATGTATCTTTCTACTGTCCTGTGACTAATTAAAGTGTACAATTAAAATGAAAGGCAGTCTTATACTTCAAGACTGACCATTGATCACAAACACAGATGCATATCAGGGGTTGTAAATGATCCAAGTATGTATTTTTAGATGCAGCTCCAGCACTCACAACATATTGGATGCTAATCCTTATCTATTATGGGAAAAAAATCCCTCATGATTATCATATATGTATGCAGTAAACAAAATCTCTCCTCCCTCTGCACCAATCTAATCTAAAGTTATTTTTCATTTATATTTGAATTTTTATTGGAAGAAAGTTTAATTTGTTGAAATGCTGCTTTCTGTGCACATGTTGACCTTTGAAAGACAATCCAACATGTTGGAGCCTTAAACAAGTGCACCCTCAGAATCTACCATACTAGCATCTCTATCTCTCTCATCTCTATCTGTCACTTAATAATAAATCTGCAGGCCTCAGACAGAGTGGATACAGCTCTCTCTACCATAGACTAGCCAAATGTCAGATGATGGAGAAATACAAATCCATCACTCTAACAAACATTCTTCGAGTTACAATATAAATATAGTGTAAATACTAAAATATATTTATATATTGATATTTCGTATTGTTGGTATAACACATGTTGGATGGTATTACTTGTTGTCTGTGTGTTGTTGTTTTTTTCTGTGAAACATTTCAGACATTCCTGATTCCAAACATGGCTGCCTCTTTACACACGTCCACACCCCGACACTGACAGGAATATTTTCCTAGTCCTTTCTAAGAGTATTCTCCTGGTGTTACTGTAGACTAGACTAGCAAGCCAGATCAGTGTGGACACTGATCACACAAAAATAATAATCTGGCCTTCCAGTGGAAAAAACTGAGTGTATTTTAGTTTGTCTTAAGTTTAGAATTGTCCTACAAGACCCTTACTCTTAAGTCCCAGTCTCAGTGTCCCCACTAAGTGTTAAACCTTCACAAACATGAAGTGACATCACCTTTGTAATCAGGGCAAATACCTAATCAAGAATGGAACAGCCTTTTGTCAAATCCCATTTTACCTGGGCTAATAAATGTCTGAGACTAGTAAAGTACAAGGCTCATATTTATATGTAGTTTAATAAAACTGAGTGGTTCCTGCTTTCTTTCTGAATAATGCAACAGTAGTTTACATATTACTAATGTTTTGCTTTTTTAGAACACTGTAAATTGTGGCTAATTTCCATCAGCAAAGACTGCATATTGACATATGAAAAGTGTTCATGAGGGGTTTAGAAAGTCTGAGTTGTACACAAAGGCAGCTCCTGTTCTTTTCCTTCATTTACAATAGATGCCAATTTATTGACACTAAGCTTGTATGTGTCAGGTTCATTTGGAGGAGAAAAAAACCCACATAAAATCAACAAAATTACTAATCTAAACATGACATATTTAAACTTCCCATCTCCTCTAGAGAAAAAAATCCCATTTGAATTGATCTTAAGTCTGTCGGTCCTAAAGGGTGAACACCGGGATTGTGCCTAACCTTCACCACATGAAACCAAGGTCTAAACCCAACCAGCCAGTCATGACTAGGAGTGTAGTAGGCGAATGCCCACCAGTGTGAAAACTCCCACAGGTTTGAGAAACCCATGCTTATGGTCTGTGGTGTCCTCGACACATCCTTCACTCGGGGGCATTGTCAGACTGAATTATTGGAACGCTGAGAACGACCCCAACATCTGACACAGACACAGTGCTCTGCAAAGTTAGCCAGTAAACAACGAAGGTCCTCAGACGGTGACCATTTTGTGATTATTTTTTAGAGACAGTGGTTCTAAAATTTGGCATCAGGCACATTTTGAAAATGTGCTCTTTATTTTATGAAGTCAGCAGGGTGCTGTATGCCCATTTCAGTTTTGAATCACATTTTTGCTGTCTAGACTGGAGACCAGGTGTCTAGCTTACATATTGTACGCATTTAGTAAAAACAGCAAGTCTTTTCTAAATGGATGCCCACACGCGGAGAGCTGCAACTCAACATATAATTCTTTGAATCTACAACAATTTAATATAATTTTGCTTCATTTTGACTTCAAGAGGACCAATGGACCACAGAACCACGGTGAGCACTGCTGCAGGTACGTTAGCATAACTAGTCGGCTAATTGAGCTAGCAAACTTCAATTGACTTGAATGTTTGTATAACAGGATAAGGCTGCTGTAGTTAGTCGGTGGGGTAATACGAAGTGAAATGTGTGTAATGTTAGATAACAGAGATGTTATATATCATATGTTGCTTTGATTTTGTAATTATAGTAAGCTAAAGCAACAACTGAAAGGTAATATTAGGGTTTAAAGGTAATATCTAGCTAGCAAACATGTTAGCTTGTTGAACGTACTTATCGATTGTGCTATCAAAATGGTGAGCAACATTAGCAATTTTTTCTTTTCTACATTACCTTTTCCCTTCGTTTGAGGACAACACCAGAAGACACCACCATTTGAAGAAGAAGAAAATGATCCAGGAAAGGTAAAATGAAGCTACGGGATTGTAACCATGCAATATTTTTCCCAGGAACTTCTCAGTAAAACTTGTAAGATAATCTTAGTAGTTTCTCATTGAACTATTGGCACCTGCAGTATTTGCTGTAGCTGTAATGTTTTGTTCCTTTGTAATTTATATTTTTGTTTTAATTATTGGAACTTATTTGAATCGGATCTTGAAACTTTGGTTTTACTTTTGTAAAACAGTTGTTTATTATGTGAAGATGCTAAAAATAAAATTTAAGATTTTATCAAAGAGGAAATGTCTCCTGTTTGTTTTTCTTTGTAAAATTGGATTTTGAAAGCCTTTTTTTTAAATTCAAAGAGTATAGGACCAAAAATATTCTCAACGAACCAGTATTTAAATTGAAGTACCAGTAATGTTCTGAAAATGTCTTTCCTCATGATACTTGTTTTTTTGTTTTCTGATTTTTTTGTGTAATTTACAGTCTTTCAGTTCTCACAAGTAAAGTGAGAGAGAAACATTTTCACCAAGCTTTGCTGTATTCGGAGCTCCAACAAGAAAGGGGAGAAAAACTTATTACTGATTAAGTTTTGGGGAAAAAGGAAGGTGGAATGGGGAAAAAGGAAGGTGGAATGCGGAAAATGAGAAATTACAGTAAATATCAATAACAACTGTCATCAGTGTCCTAGTTTCCAAGAGGAGAAAACACTGTAATTTCTGTAAAATAATAGGCGTCTATTTTCATTACTAAAGAATTCATCAGTAACACAAGTAATGGTGCGAAACTATGAAAGTGTTAGACTGAATTTTCATTTAATTGGTCCTGTTAAAATGGCGCTGGTGCTCATATTAAATAAAATGACTAGTCTGCAGCCATGCAGCGGTATGTGAGAACAAGATGGGCAAGTGTCAATAAGTCAGTAAATCAGATTGACTTTACACAATGAAGATTTAAAGGACATCTGCTGTTTACTTTTGAGCAGCCAGGGTAGAGGCAGCCGTCTGTCAGTGGATCTGTCCAGCCACAGAACTGCCCTGCACCCACTGGTGTCGTCACAGCGCTCACAACACGACAATGTAGTTCGGTGGAAGAAAATACACTGAGGTATAAAAAGACACGTATGGATGCAGTCAGGCTTGATCGAAGCAGTTATGTGGACAGTGTAGGAAACGAGTGAAGTGTTTTTGTTCCATCAGACATCTATGAGAAGGTTGTTGGTCTTTATTTACACAATACAGCATGGCAGCCATTCCCTGTTGTGCAACAATTTTGGTTCTGATCCACTGTGATTCTTCCCATCACTGTCACTACACTGAGTGTTGTTCCCTGAAGTGCACTTACGCAAACTCAAATGAGATGCCTTCAAACTGTTATCATCATATGCTCTGCTGAAATACGGGTCCTGTCCTGTTATGCACTATTTAATTGGGTTGTTCATTGTCATTCACACATTTTGTTTATGAATCGGACGAGAGAATTTTTATATCTGACCATGTTTTTCCCTTGGCTAATTTACACAAAGCAGTTTCACTATTTAAAAAAAAAAAAAAAAAAAGAGTTGGAAAATCCCAAATAACAACATGAACAAAAAAAAAGAATTGATTATCCAGTTATGGGTGGGTCACGAGCAAACGCCTGTTAACTGATCCATCATGGTGTAAGAGACATTACAACAACTCTGGCATACTAGCAAAATTAACCATGTGATGTGTGCTGTTGAACAAGTTTTATACACCACAGACATGTACATCTTCTGTGTGTTATTTAAGTTCAGCTGCTTTAACATGGCCTGTTGTTCTTTCTTGTTTTTCAGCCCGCTGTTTGTCACATGGAAAATAGGCAGAGACAAGCGGTTGAGGGGTTGTATAGGTACATTTTCTGCCATGAATCTGCACTCAGGACTCAGGGAGTACACCCTTACCAGGTGAGCAACAACATGGAGTTAGCCTCAGTGTGACAGAGCATGACTGTGGAAAAATAATGACACGCTAGTAAATTAAAGTGAATGAACCTTATTCATTTTTATTCTGTTTCATTTGTGTAGCTTTCTGTATCTGTGTGTGTGTGTGTGTGTGGGGAGCATGTGTCTGTTTGAGCCCAGATCCTGGTGGTTTAAAGAAAAGTTATTAATGCCCTTATGTTAATTTTATCTACTATAAAAATCTACAAAAAAACAAAATAGAAGCGTCATTCATTGTTCAGGTGTTGAGATAGATGGATCTTGTTGATATACTGTATGTGTAAACACGTTTCTTTAACAGAGTGCACTTTATAATGTGCAAACAACACAATTTATTGATCAAGATGAAAAGCACTGATACAAATAAAATGTACCAATAACCTCCTGTATTATACTGTGACTGTAATGTGTGGATTATTGTGAAGAAGTTTTAATTAATGCAAAGTTGTGATTATAAATAGTCCTTGTGTAGTTGTATTGGACAATCTTATACCCTCTCCAGACCAACACAGTGACGGGGGTGAAACCAGCATATGTCATCTTACCGGTGGGTTGAAAGCGGGTTAGAAATCTAAGTTCAGTATTTATGTTACTGTTTTTTAAATATCATGTAACCTGTGACTCCTGCATGTGGAGAAGACTGAAACTAAAACTAAAACATTTGCAGACTTGAGTCTGAGAAAATGTTTAAAAAGACTCTTTTCAAAAGATGGTGTGGAATGTCTTCACTAGCAGTTCTTGACCTGAGGGCAGAAACACCTGACACCTGTCTAATATATGTAAACACACACAGCTCCTTACTGGGAATGTGTACATATACACACATTACAAACAGCCCTGTGGACAGCCATTATCAGGGCTTGTGCTGCAACCACGCTGACCCCTGAATGTCTTAAGAAATTTAACCTCGGTTTCAAAAAGGGAAGAAAAAAAAATCTCATTTTCAAATCCCGCACGTAGTAATCCAACTGTGGGGCAGTTTAATACTCGATTGTGACAACGACTTTCTCAGTTTCCTCCCATAATGGTGTTTTTGCTTTGTGCTTTTCTGTCTGCAGTGCCCTTAAAGACAGCCGCTTCCCCCCTATGACAAGGGATGAGCTGCCTCGCCTCTTCTGCTCAGTGTCTCTTCTCACCAACTTTGAAGACGTCGGTGATTACCTTGACTGGGAGGTAAGACGCCCGCAGTGCTGCCGGAGTCGCCCTCGAACACGCAATAATATCATTTGCTTTAAGAGTTGTGGTGCTTCGCAGCTGTCTCACTCCTGCTCAGCAGCTCTCCCACATTTCTTTGAGGTTGATTTTTCTCTGGATGTCTGTAAACAAAATTATTAAAACTGCAACAACAAGTAAATATTTGTATATTCACTTGCATGTAGAACCTCATGTAATACTAACAGCTTTTTATGAGTCCACCAGCTGTGTTGTATTAAAGGAAATGACAATTAGAAAAAAAAACTAAAGCGTTTGGTTGTAAATGGAGCAGCTCTTCACATTGCCTTAAAGAACAGTTACAACTGAATAGCTTTGCAACAACTTTGCCTTTGTGAGATTTATGGGGTTAAACATATTCTGTGTGTCTTGATTCTAGGTGGGTGTTCACGGCATTAGGATAGAGTTTTTCAATGAAAAAGGATCAAAGCGCACCGCCACCTACCTACCAGAGGTTGCAAAGGAGCAAGGTGAGATCTTTTTGTGCTGCTAACAGTCCAGCCCATGCTGGTTTCATAAAGAATGTTAATATTAGACTAAATCTGGATGTTCAGAATTGTGTAAAACCCTACATCTCTGTTTTATCAAGGTTGGGACCACATTCAAACCATAGATTCCTTACTACGAAAGGGAGGTTACAAAGCTCCCATCACAAATGACTTCAGGAAGACCATTAAGTTAACCAGGTAAGATTACACTTACTCTTGGGGAGTTCTACTGCATGTGTGAAAAAGTTGTGTAAAGCCTTTAGCGGCTTCAGAGGGAGCTGCAGGAGAGCTGATCAATTCAGTCTGAAAGTTTAAAAATGGTAGAAATCTGGTGGAGTTGCAAAGAAGTGAGCTCACCAGACCTAATCTCCGCTCGAGGCCAGCAGCTCCTGGAGGCACTTCTAGTATAAGACAAAGACAAGCCAAATCTTTGACTGAACTCTCAGCAGTCAAGTTGCATTGTGGGTAATGCAGGAGCCAGGTTTTGATTAAGAAGAAGTAGGTGTGGAATACAAATGTCTCTGGCTCTGCTACATTGATTTAAATGTTTTAAACTGTCCACAGTGAATCTGATGATATGCAGTGTTAATTTAGTGAAGAAAAAAACTCTTGAAAATGTTTGTTCTTCTGACTGAGGCTTCCAAAGTCTCCTCTAGTTGTAAACTGTTTGTACAGAGTAACTGCAGGTGCAGACTGACGCTTATCATCAGCCGGGAAACCAGACCAATCAGTGAGCTCATATTTATTCACTGTCACTGATTGGTCTGCCCCCGATTCAGATAGATTTCCATCTGCCCAGAAACTAGTTGACCCAATCATAACCATTTATCTAAAATGGGGTGGGTTTGATGCGATGGCTTATACAGTAGCGTCACTGAAGCATTTTCGGTAACAACCAAGATGGCTGCCGCTGATGTGAAGACAGTCTGTTGAATCCACTATCACAACAGTGTTAAACCAACTAGACGGTATATTTTCTATAAAAGAACAACTACTGCACTTACATGGCAGCCTGTTTACATTTTCCTGTCGCTCTGCGCTTCATGTCAGCTGTGCCTCAGTTCAGAGGCCGCATCCTTCAGCGGCTGCATTTGAAGACCGATTGCGACTACACTGTCCCATTTCGAAGGCTCCTTCAAATGCGGCCGACAAATGCGTCCCTCTTTACCTGGGCCACGAAGGATCCAAAAGGTGGATCCTCCGTGGCCGAACATATCCCAGGATTCATTCAACAGCACTGACAGAGAGCCATTTCTAAATCTACGTATTGTGTTTCAGCTCAGTTCAACAGCTAACGGTAAAGCTGTTAAAACCAAGGGCCTTCAAACCTCAAGTTTTAGAGAAATAAAGTTACGTGTTGTCAAGGTTGCTAGGCAACAGGAGCACAGTAGCAGCAGGAACAGCTGGTGACGCACAGTGTAAATCCGCCGTGGACCGTCTGATTTCAGTTCGGCCTTCACGGTCTACGAAGGACCACGCCTTCCTGGACAGTGTCCTCTGAAGGATGCGGCCCCTGAAGCGGAACACAGCTATTGTTCTGATTGGTTGGTCCACGACCAACCAATGTCCCCTGGAAACTGAAAACGAACTGAGAGGTTCCCGCGACGCCAGGCTAGTTCATCGTAGTTTTCCTAACGCAACACAAGAGTCAAGCCTTTACCAACACGTCTTTTCTCATTCCTAGGTACCGTAGCGAGAAGATGACAATGGGTTATGCAGAGTACATCGCCCACCGTCAGCACCATCACTACCAGAATGGCATTGGGCACCCTCTACCACCCTACAACCATTATTCCTGACAGCGAGCCGCATGACCAATCATTGGACCTCTCCGCGGACCTTTTCCCAGGAGAGCCAGCCCCCTCCTGGTCTAGCTATTTCTACTACTGTACCATTTTATGATGATAGTTTCCGTTGCCATGCTGGCCGTCTCCCAGACGTTGACATGGCAACGGGTGGCAACGAAGCATCATTTGATTATGGCAAGAAATCCACGTTTCTTTTTCTTTGCCTGTGGTTAAGTTTTTGCAGCATATGTATACCTATATCTATAACCCCCTTCATTCATATTTTTGAAAATTAACAAATAATAGATTTTATTAATCTTGCGTCTTTCAGCAAACCTAATCAGGTGTTTGATTCTGTGGATGGAAGGAAGTCTCTTACAGTAGATTAGTCTCATGCTTATATTGTTTAGGCTTTGCTACAATTTTACATTTAGTAAGAAAATTCTTTTTTCCTTCTTTCTTTCTTTATCCTAATATCCAGACATGTATACCATGTAGCAAGGCAACTGCAGTTCTCAAAGGCTGTGTCGTCTCTATTCTGATTCCTCTCAAAAAAAAAAAAGATTGACTGTTGAGGTTGTTGGAGCCTTGTAAACTCTTGTAGTGTTGTAGTTGGAACTATTTATTGGGATCTATATACTCCAAAGTATAGATAGTATGATTGTGGTGCCCTTTGACCAGTCTTTGCTGGTTGTGTTTATTGTCTGAGCTCACAATCGTGTGTGTATTTCTGTGTGTGGATATGGACGTTGGTCTGCTACAAGATAAAAAAAAAAACCAGTGGAGTAAATTAGAAATTGGATTTCACCTAAAGATTCCCCACAGAGATTTTTGGAAACCTTCCTCCCTCAGTGTTTGTAGTGTTTGTGGTGGTAAACCTTGAACTGCGTTTGTTTGGCTGGAGCTCACAGCTGTGTTCCCTCCTTTCTTTTTTTTGTTGAACTTTTTCAAATTAAAGTAATTGCGGAGGAAGCCATTTTGTCTGAGGATAATATGTCCGCACAGGTGAATTGTTAATTATCTATGTAAAATGGGCTACACGTGGGTCTGTTTCCCTGCATTGGAGCAGGTGGGGGGGGTGGGGGGCAGGCGTAACCACAGGTCCTGAGAGAAAGAAAAAAAAAAAAAAAAAACAGTATGTGCATGAAAAATGCTGTCGTTTAAATTTACTGTGTCTGTTGGTTTCTGAGTTTACTGGCAGGGAGTCACTTGACAGGGACATGCTGTAACTACTTAAAGCCATATTCTCTTTTTATTCCACACTTTGTAAGAGTAGTCTGTCGTTTGGCTTGAGGTGTTCACATTTGGTGCCACTTAACTGGCAACCTCTAATACCGGGGGTCTCCACCCTGTGAATGCAACCTCACACCAGCCAGCCTCAGGCAAGGCTGCATCGCTGAACACGCGTCGAAGCGGCGGTTTCAGTCATTTGTCGGAAGTCTTGTATATCGCCCCCCGTCGTTGTGGAAACATTGTCTTGCCTTTTCAGATTATAGCTAACCATTGTCACTCGTCCACCGGAATGCTGTATTAAAATCGTCATTTTGAATGAAGTTACACGACGTGACGCACAAAGGAAGTGAGCTAATTAACATGTTTGTGTCATTTAGAAGCGCATGTCATTGTGCCGCTGCCGTAGTGCAGCCAGTTGATTTAGTTGTTGAAACCGCACCACCACCATTCTCCTCCTGATAATCTGCTGTTCAGTGAGACCCCGTCGATCTGTGTGTCCACGGCACAGGAAATGTTTTGATTTGTGGTCCATGTTGTCAGCTGTGTGGCAGCGGGTGAGAGCAAACACAGCAGAATTAGTTAGAGCAGAGTCTCTGCGTGGGGCCTGGAGGCTCACTGTTGAGGTCTGCTGATAAAAAGCCAGGGCTTTGTAAGGACTTAAGAAGCCATTTCCCATCCAAATATTACTTGTTGTGAGTCACATCCACACACACTAGGCTAGTTGGAATCACTTTCCAGAATGTTGTTAAGCTCATCACGTGATCCGCTCGTCTTGGGTTCGGTTTTAGTTTTGCTAACTGGAATTTTTGAGAGGTTCTTGTTACTTGACCAACATCTTTCTTCGTAACAGCCTTTACTAACTGACAGGTTATTTTTCTTTATGCAAAATGTCAAGGGCTTTTGGCACTCCATCCACAGTAACCCGAAATGACCCAGATTTCAGTTGTGTTGCCTTAAATTAATGGTTTCATAAATGATGGACCAGTAGGTGATGCTCTGAGTGTTTCTCCGGCCCGGTCTGCTCTGTCCTCGCCCGGTCTTCACACCACAGTGTAAGGGAGGGGCTGAGATGATGTTTCCTAAATCAGATGCCATCAGTACGTAGACATACGGGGGCTCCTGTATGTCTGCATCTCCTGTCGGCTCATGTCTGACCCAGACGCCGGTCCTCACGTCTTTCACTTAAACTAACTCATAAACTAACGCTGGGCGCTGTGGTGTTGTTCCCCTACATGATTAAACCGCGGGAAGACAGTTTCAGGCCTCTTGAGAAATGTATGCTTTCCTGAAGAATTCACTACCACACTACATAAAGACGTTTCAGCGAGGAGCAGTCAGACACTCACTTCCTGGTCCATTTAAAACAGCACAACCTGAATTTTTCTGCTGCAAAACCAAATTGACCATGCTCTTTTACATATATGTCTTTGTATACACATGCAATGTATTTTGTTGCATGTATGTCTGAGTATGAGACCTATGGTTTTATCCATGATATGCTTGATCTATGGCTTAGACACTCTTATTAACCATTAAGAGATTTAAAAGACAAATATGGTGCTATCGGACCTCATATTGGGGTGGTCACAGCTCGTGACTGGTCATGCGGACTCATTGATCATATCATACTTAAAGATGCTACATGTAAGATTTTCTCTGTAGTGCACTGCTGTGAAATGAGTCACGACGGCACATTTTAATACTGAAGTTTGACCGTCGGCGATACAAACAGTAGCCCCAGGAACCTCTGCTTCCGTTAAGTCCGGTGTGGGTGATTGTGGGTGATTGTGGGATCAGTTCCCTATGGGAAAAAAAACAGATCTCCTCCCAGTCCAAGTCCCAGCAGCAACACGTCATTGGGGCTATGGAATGTACTGTTAATGGCCGTTCTAACAATCGACCAGTGGTGTATTAAGAGAAAATCCTACATGTGTTACCTTTACTATCCTTGATATATGCAGATCTGTTCAACAGGTGTTTTTTTTTCCTACCAGTGCAAGTCAACACCCCTGCAGGTTTGAAAGGACAAGAAGTCACACGTTAACCTCCTCTCCCCCCGATTACCCCCGACACTGTGGCCCAACCTCATGGCCTAGTTCGTCAAGGTGTGTTGTGTGTCGTTCAGTAGATAGTGGCAGTAGTGGTGGTCGTCGCCTCTCCTGGAAGATCGGATGCTGCCGTTTGCGAGCACATCCTCCGTTTTCCTTCTAGCTGCTGAATCGTTTGACCTCCTGTAAGGGCAAAGTTTGATTTGTCGAGTAGTGAAAGGTTCCTGTTGTCGAGGTTCTCACAGCCTCTCTTAAACTGTGTCGAAGGTAAGCATCTCCTCTAATGGGACGCAGAGTTCATGTTTTACGTAGAACATGCAGAATATAGTCCTGGTTCTGTACTGATTAACTGTTTTAAAGCATTGATACCTCATGGGACATTATGGAACGACATTCGTAGTTTGTTGTAGCAGATTGTGTTTTGGTTCCATACCAGGGTTAGAGTTCAGCCTCAGCATTCCTTGTGTGGTCATTCTCATATTTCGTAGGAATGCTCAAGCTCATGTTACCTTCGTATGTCTGACTGAACCAAAGATGCCAGCGGCCATGCCCAAATGCTGCTCTTCAGGCCTGGCTTCCTGTCCTTCCAAAAACACCCCTGCAATTGACAAAATGTTCTTTATGTCTTTTTTTTTGTGTGTGTGCGATTTCTCAACTGTCTTGACTTATGAAGCAACCCAGTGTTTCAATGAGTTTTCATTGAGTCTGTCTCTGAAGCCGTACGTGGCATCAAGGATGGTTCAAACTGGTTGCAAATTGTTGTTACTTATTTTGTTTATTATTATTATTATTATTATTACTATTATTATTATTATTATTATTATTATTATTATTATTGCTATAATTTACAAAAATGAAAATCCCATGGTGTGCCTCCTAGCTTTATGGGTTTATAAATGTTTTTTTCCCTAAAGACCAGCAGTTATACTTTGTATAAAAGATGGATTTTTCCTTATTTTTTATGCCATTAAAGATGAAAAAAGCCTGTTTTCTTTACTCTGGACCCAGTAGCTGCACTGGTATACAATCGCACTGATAGATGAATTTAAAGAAAAAGAAAAAAAAAAAAAAAAAGGATAAATGAATCAATAATAATAATGATAATGACAAATGAAATAAGAACTACAATAAACTTGTGTTTGAGACTTTTATTAAAAAATGATTTAAAAAAGCAAATAAAAAAAGAAAATGACTGTTTTTGTACATCAAAATAAATTCTTTTCAAAAGAATATTTTGGATCTAGTTTCAAAATTATTTTAGTGGTTTTCTATGTTCTGAATTTTTGAGACACTGACTTCTAAGACGTGTCACTGTACAAAATGACTTTTTTCTGTTGCAGTGGCCTGATGGGCTGGGAGGGTTGCCTGGTGTAACTCCTCATACCAACTTTTATTTCTTTTCCTTTCGATTTTTGGATCTTTTTTTTTTCCTCTGCTTTAGTAACTTGAAAAATGTTGATGGAATAATATGAACTGGGAACTTCAAATCCATCCCCTGTAGAGCTAGACCCTTCCTCTTTTCCTATTGAATTGCTGTTAGTGTGACGAGACTTGAAACGGGCATTTATTATGATAGTATGACTCCAAAAGAAAAAAACACAAAAATAAAGAAACACAAAAAAAAACTAAACAAAAGAAAAAAAAAAAAGAAATTTGCAAAAAAAAATTGCAAAAGAAAAGTGGGGAGGGTTGAAAGAATATATATAGATGGGTTATCTGAGTATGTAAGCAATGGCTGTGAAGATGTAGTTTTAAACATTGTTATTACCTTTTAAATCATTTATTCAATAAAAAATACAAAATCAACTGAAAAGAGAAAATGTGTCACTCTATTTTCTTTCAGCACACACACACTGATGAAACGCTCAGAACAAACAGTTTGTCATTTCAACATTTGAAACAAAATTGTCACATTCAGATCCTGACGACTCCAACACCAAATCAATACCATCAATTGATTAGTGATAGTTCCTCTGGTCAGTTACAATTCACACCTGCTTTGATGAATACTCACTTCTGTGTCAACACTGTGAAGCCTTGATCAGTCAGGTGCAGTTACACCGCATGACCTCATTATATATGTCCCCATGCATACATATGCTTTGTATATAAATACATATATACAATAGCACAAGACAAAGTGTTCATCTGGTTTGGTGGAGGAGGTCAACCCCTGTACGTGTTCTGTTCTGGTTCTCTGAACACTGAACTCATTGTCAACAGTTTTCACTGAAAGAACTTTTCATTAAAGAAGCTCGTATGAAAACTGTCCACACTGAGGTCTGTGTGTTTTCCCCGATCGCCTGTACATCGTTTCTGGGACTAAATTTAGTTCATACCATACCATCAGAGACAAAACCTGGACTAAAAAAACCAAACAAACCAAATAGAGCAACAGACCATCTGTCGAGGTATCATCAGAAATAATTGGCTAAATATATGAACTGATAATGTGCCACTAGTGAATCAATGCTTTTCCACCATTATGTGAAAGAACATCAGGCGTCACGTGCGGACTGGATCATACAGGAACACGTCACTGTGTTTTCACCATCACCAGTTTTACCGTCTTGTATTCTTGTGTTTGGTAACAAACCCGAACACCGACCTGCACATGTGGTTAATGTGGGTCTGTGAGCAGGAGACGGATCCTCACATGCCTCTGCAGCAAGTCGAGAAGTCTGGGCAGGTGTATCTGAAAATACTTTGCTGCTGGTTACATGATATTGAGTCTGAGTGGGTCTGTGTGTAGCCAGTAGTATCCACGTGTCTGAATAAATGACACTGAGGATGAGTGCAGTTCAAACTGGGGTTTTAAAAGCAGTAACTCCATAAAGTCCATGTTCTTTCTCATTTTCTCTTTATTTCATCAGGGTTGTATTTAGTTTCCTGTCTTGTTACTTATTACTCTCTTACTACTCTCCAGTTCCTCCAGCAGTGATTATTTTTGTGCTGACCAAGAACTAATTGTACATCAAGTGAAAAGACACTTTTCTATTGCCTTTGCCTGACATTGAAATAATTTAAGCACTTTAAAAGAGGAGCAGCATGTTTTAACACTTCCTCCACCGTCGTCACCTCCGGCCTCTTTGCAGCCTGTGTGGTAATTTTAGGTCGAGTTCCTCTCTCTTGTCTGTAACGATGAGCTGCTGAAAACCTTCTGCAGCTCTCACTTCAGTCGATATGCTGCACTTAAAGCTTTTCACCCCGTCTGACCTTTCAGAGAACAGTGAGGCGCACGTACAGTAGGAAAGCCTGAGCCTGTGAGTCAGGCAGCAGCTTAGCATCAGAGGCATTCCTGCGGAGCGATGAGAAGCTCCGGTATTTAAGGAGAAGCTCAGCATTTGGGTAATTTGTTTGTTTGTTTGATGAGAAGATGCCACGAGCCAGCAGCTGGTTAGCTTAGCATGAAGACATAAAGAGCAACAGCTAGCCTGGCTCTGTTCAGAGTCCACCAACAAGCAGCTCTAAAGCTCACTCATCATTTCCTCTCCCATGTCAGCATTCCTCACTGTATCTGCACAAACTCCCATCGTGTCCACACATATTTCACTAAAGACGTTTCTCACTGTGTTGATTCATTTCATTTCATTTCTCCTCTGACTCACGAAAACACTTCAGTCCCTCTGTCACTGTGACACTGTCCTGCAGCATCAGGGTGATCAACCAAATCACTTTAAACTCTCTTCAAATATGCGCACACACACACACACACACACACACACACACACACACACACACACACACACACACACACACACACACACTGTATATATTGTGAATTTACTGTACTGTAGTTCTTCAATGCATGGGTCCATGTTCATCATCTGTCTCTCCGCAGTCACGGCTTTCACACATTTTCTCAATTTTTCAAAACCACACACAAAATGCAAAGTGCCACAAATCTGCTGCAAATGAAACAGTGTTGAAAATATCATACAGTAAAAACATCTAAAAATCAAGTTTTTGCATCAAATGTCAAACTCTCTCTTGCATTATAGTGAATTATTGGATAAACCATGTTCTAAATCTAAAGCTCCTCTGTCTTCCACAGGCGTGTCTATACATTTATAAAGTGACAGTACAGTGAACACTAATGCAATGTTGCAACAGAATATAGTAATTTACTACTTTACGTTACTGTTGTAACTGCAGCAGTTTGTGTCTGAACAGTTTTATTCTATATTTTCTGCAGTTGTCTTTTTCTAAAGTCAGTCAGGTTTTTATTAAAGTATCAAACATTTGGCGTCTTAGTCTGAAGCTCTGGTAAAAAGGTTTAATTCATTAGTGACAACGTTGAAGTGATTGACTGACTTTGGATGTTTCTACATGTGAACAAGGTTTTAGGAGCTTTTGCTGTGTTATGAGAAATGCATTAAGAGTTGAGAGAGTATCAATATTCTCATTTAACTCCCTGCAAAAATGTGTAAGTCATATTTACTAAAAAGTTAAGTGTGCAGAGTCACTTGCAGAGCTGTGAGGGCCGGAGGGCCGTTCACCGTGTTAATGGAAACATGTTGTAAAAAGTAATGAATAATTAATGTGCACAAACTCAAACTCCCAAGGTAAGTATGGCAACACATAAATAATATACCTAAATATTCCCTGAGCAGTTAGAAATAATACATGTGAACTTTGGTCAACATCACTTTTATTGTCAATACAGCACATAGACTCAAACCAATAGAAATACAAAAGTTTCTTATCCCTTCTTTACAGTGAAATACAGTATAATATGCTACAGTAATAAACACGTCCCTCATACTTGAAATGTTATATACCCAGACTGACATGTTCCAATTATCAATCTAATAATTAATACTTTCTTTTGCATGGACAGTCAATAAGCGACTCGAAGTGACTTCATGCAGATCATCTGATGCATTTTTTTCCGTGTATGAAACGGAGGTTGTGACTCGTGGAGGTGGTGGAGTGACTTCAGGGCGTCTCTGTATTCAAGTGTCATTAAGCATGAATCCAGCCCAGATACATTTTGTCAAGATGTTTTCTGTCTCGACAAACGTCACATTCATCGATACGACTCACTGAAGTCTAAACCTCACTGACTGTGGTCCAATATCACCGTAACACAACAGAAAAAACTTTCCCTCCTTGGCAGAGGTGATAACAACATCCCAGTGTAGATCCACGAATCCTCACTCGGCATGTAAGACATCCTCATGTCCCCTGATTATCACAACTGGAATGATGGGAACTGGAGACAGAGAGAGGCCACTGACAATGATGCTTTATAACCTGTACACGTGGGCGATGGAGTGAGGACAGAGGGACGCCATAAATAAATGTCTTTTTTTCAGTCATGACAACACTGAGAGGTGATCAAAGAAAAACAAAAACCTCCAACTAAACAAGCAATAACTTTTACAACAGCTCACATTCACAATCTGCTGGAGACAAATAAAATGGCAGCTTTACCCACTAACATAGATCTATCATGACAACCACGTAAAGAACTGAGAGTGTAACAACTGCAGATCAGTAGTGACATTTCAGCGACTCGTTTTTCTGTCTTTAAAACAGTTACGAAAAGGCAGCTTGAGAAATCACCCACAAATCCACTTACATTGTTTTCCCACCAAAGGCCAGCTCCACTGACTGCTGCTAACTACCAGCCTTCAAATGCCTATTACGTCTGTGCATGCAAGTATGTATGCAAGCCAAATACAACACTAAAAGAATGACACATTGACTCACTGGCCCTGAAATGCTGACGTGTTTCAGTAAAACAGATGGTAAGTCTTAAAAGATGCATTAAAATGTTGCTTTAAAAAAAAATTCTGCGCGGTAATAGCAGGCGTTTAGAGAGAGCGGCTCGGTGCGACTTCCTGGGCATTCAGTCAACTTTCTTGCTGCGCAGTCGGAGAGTGTCCAGCAGGTTTCTGCAGACGGAGCCGGTGTGTTGAGACAGGAGCGTGAGGAGCTTCCCGTGGATGAGGGTCAGCAGGGTCTGGTGGCCCGTGGCCCAGACCCGGTACCAAGGCCCGTAGAAGGGATCGGACACGGCCGGGCACAGCATGTTGTTCAGGTTGACCTCAGTCGCCTGGAGACAGACAGACTAATCAGAACAAGTACTACCCAGCTGGATCATGAGTTCACTGTATTCATTTTTAGAATCATTCATTTCTGCTCTAAAATAAACTCACCTGACTGAGTTCAGTCTGTAAATCTTTATTATCCTTATTAATTAACTGCAGAAATGACTTTAAGAACTGTATAACACTGGATCATATATCAATGTACTCCTGCTGACCACACCTCTGTGTGTGAATAAGCTACTGGTGATGATGGTGTGATCCCTTCACTCATGTACTTTGCATAGTGGAGTGTCAGGTAACGCCCAGCAGGGGGCTCCATCTTACCAGGCCAAGGACTTGCAGGAAGAGGAAGTGATAGAGGAAGAGGATGCCGGTGGAGAGCAGCGCCCACCACATGTCCCCGAGAGGTTCAGGCTTGTAAACACCTGCAAAAACAAACACCCGTAAAACACCTGGGGGGGGGGGTTAACAAAGTCTGAATTTAACCTGAACTCTGAGTTGATGAAACCTGAGCTGGGAAACTCTGAATCTCTTGGTTCCTGATCAGAGTTCGTTCAGTCAACTCTGAGTATGATCATCAACGGGGCTCCGATACTATGAATCACCATGACAACGGGTAAATAGGGAGCAGAGCCTCCATTTTAATCCAGTGGAGCCAGAAAAATTAAAGTGAAACAGTAAATTTATCTTTAAAACACAGCAGCAGCGCTGAAAGAGAAAAGAGTCATGAAGTAACATGTCGACATGTTGCTCAGTAAATGTTTAAATACATTATTCAGCTGCGACCTGACGGGGACAAAGAACAACATGTGATATGAAATAAGTTTATTTATAGAGCTGCGACTGTGATCTCAGTCTGACCCAGTTTTGATTTGAAAAAGCACCTAGGTTTAAACTGAGATTTAATTTAGATTAGATCTATTTTACATTTAAAAAGCTCTTTAATGACTTTTACTTGAGTATATTTATTTTAGAAACTTAAACTACACTAAAAGACAAATATTGTCCTTTTGACTACATTTTTATGTAGTCTTATTTTGAAGCAGCTTTTAATCAGTGGAAAGGATTTTCTTTTATTTTGAAAATGTGATAGATCATACACTGTGACTTCATCACAGAGGAAAAACCAATCACAGCCAACTCCTCCACTGTCAGCCATGTTTGAAGCTGTCAGCGTCCTAACGATGGAGACGTTCGATAAAGAGGAGGCAGAAGATCCTTCACAGAGACCTCGGTCTGATCTGAGGTCTGAGTTTCAAGGTTTAAAGAAAGATTCATGTAGTTTAAAACCACGACCACACTTCCAGGAGCAGGGCCAGGATCTATAGTCTGAAGTAATGGAGCTGTGTAGTTTGTCCACCTCTGGTTGGTTCAGACCAGGTTCAGACCATCTGCAGCCTGAACTCAGAACTTTAAACTACATTTAGTCCAGTTTTAAAATCCCCCTCACTCAGAAACATCACATAATCTACACTGGTATTTGAACTGATGACAGTGTTCCAGGAGAGATTATTCCTTATAGACGTGTCTGAAGATTCAGGTTGATCGTTTTTTATTGACAGTGATTACAGGACGGTGAATGTTTCAGAGCAGATCATGATCCGACAGACAGACAGAGGACAGAGACCTCTGTGTGTCCTTTCATAAGAGAGGTGGGGTTAGTAAAGTTGGGCCTTTGGTAACAAACTATTGACCAACCGACATGTACAACTTCTGCAAATTAATGCGCTGAGTTACCATGGTAACTGAGCCAGTTACCCTGACCTCATCACCCACTTCCGACAAGATCCTCCTGAACGGGTTTTAAAGAGAGACGTCTCGTCCGTTCCAGCTGTTTTTACTTCGTACAGATGAAATACTAAAGAACCAAGTTCTGCCTCCACCCAGTGTTCCCTGTTGGAACGGAGGAAACAGTGTGTGACCACAGCAGAACCAGTAACAGGACGTGGTGTCAAACTGGCTTTTCCTGTTTCCTCACAGTAATGTTAGCGCAGAGGAAACATCAAACACGCTCCCACTAGATCAGTTTAACTGGAACAACACGATTCCTTTGTTGGACTCCAGTGTCACATGACTGATGAACAATGGTGCAGAGGTTTGATTCTCTCTCTCTCCTACCACACACCGAACCTGTGAAATGAGACCAGTTACTTACCTGTCCCTGTGTTTACACTCTGTCTTAGTTTAAAGCTTCTGTGTGTGCGTGTATGTGTGTGTGTGTGTGTGTGTGTGTGTGTTCACAGAACAACAGTGAAATAAACCACCTCCCAATGTGGTCTGAGTGACCGGATCTCAGGTGTGTCCTCAATGTGTCTTAGGTGTGTTCACACCTGAACTTAGATCACCTGAACTGGTCTGAACAGAGTCATAAACAAAATAAGATCAACACTCACCTCCTTTCCTGAACAGGTAGAGAGGCACCAGGTACAGCATGGAGTGCTGGATATAGTAGATCTCCTTCTCAAAGGGAAGCTGTGGAGAGAACACACAGATTAAAGATGGCCGCCAGGCAGAGCCACGGATCTTGTGCTGACTCTAAGTAGAAATTTAATTTTCTGAGACCTCAGTGTTCTTGTTTGGATGTTTCAGTGTTTTTACTGTGAGACAGAGAAGAAGTGTCTGAACATCTGGCGATCACATCTGTATACTGTAGACAGACCAGCACTCACAGGTGGAGCGGCTGATTTGACTCATCTTCAGAACATTATTGTACTGAGGGAAGGGGTGTGACCTCATGCTAACAGAGAGCGGGAGGTCACCTGGGGTCAGCGGAGCCGTCGGCCTCTTCCACATGTACGAAGAAAATTAAAGGAATGTGCAAAATGAAAATAAGTAACGAATGAAGTAGTTTAGCGTCAGCTCGTTAATGGGCAAATAAACACACACTGCACGACTGGAGATGGTTAATATTAATGGTGTAAATCAAAAATAAAGTCAGGTCAGAGATCAGTGTTTTTAATTAATACAAGTGATTGTGTGTAAATGTGTACTGTTATTACATTTTAATACACGATGGATAATTTAATGCTTTTTCAAGATTTATGAGGATCTGATGTAAATTGCCTTTTCAGTCAAGTCCCTTTCTTATTAAATGTGATTAGTGTTCAGTGCTCACACTTCTGTTTGTTATATCTGAGTGAAAACTGATTTAAAGCGCGCGCTGACCGACGACATAATGTTCATTGATTTTAAAAAGAGGCTCCTCCTCAGGCCGGACGTCTCCCGTCTTTAGATGATGATGAAACAGAGTTGAGGCAGAAAACCTTTAATTTACTGAGGTAAGAATATTTCTGTGGTGAACATTTGATTTTCACGGGGATCGTATTACGACTGGAAAACTTTTTATTCCTCCACGCCGGCGACAGTAAGAGCCATTTTGTTTTCAGGCTGTCCGTCCGTCTCATTCTCACCGACGCGATATCTCAGTAACGCCTTGACGGAACTTCTTCAAATGTGGCACAAACGTTCATTTGAACGGAATGAACTGATTAGACTTTGGTGGTCAAAGGCTAAAGGTCAAGGTCAGTGTGACCTCACAAAACACTTTTTAGCCATTACTCATGACTTCAAAGAAATTATGACAAAGTTTCACACACACGGTTCATATTTTCTCTGACTCAACAGTGACTATAACCTGGAACTAGTCTGAGTGGCGGAGGGATACGACCATGAGGAGGGGCTTCTAGTTTAAAAGCTGAAACTGTCCAAACTTGATTTGATTTAATCAGACTGAATTTGAAGTTTGGGCGTGATCTCCAGCAGCTGGTCCTGGTCTGCAGCTGTTAGCCTTTAAAACAAGCAGCGCTGGTTTCCTTCACTTAAAACAGAAGATCTACCTCTGTTGCTTTCTGTCTGACATTCTGACTCCTGTATGTTAGAATTTGTTCTTCACATTCACGCTCCAGTAGAGACACTAACATTTATTTAGTAGCGTCACGTTCCTGACGCGCAGGAGATGAAAGTCTTTTTAAACACGTCAAAGATTAAACACTTGCTCTCTCGTTGAGCCGTCATGAAAAATGAAATATGTGGATAATGAACAGGAATCCTTGTTAACTTCAGAAACAGAACAAAGGCTCAGCTGTGGATGAGATCAAGGCTTTACTGGAGATATTTCCAGCACTGGTTACTTACCAGTCTGGTGTTGACTACAGGGAACATTAAAGCCAGTAATGCACCATTCAACATGTGGACCTGCAGCCTGAAAACACACGGGACAAACAGAAGCCAGTATTAATAAAGTTAAACATCTGATAAACCTCACACGCTCCATCACATCTGTCTCAGGCTACCAGGAAACTCTGTAATCATTGCATTACTGATACATTATCTTGAACTGATTAGAGCTGATAGCAGCTCAGAGGAACAGGTGGAGGACCGAGCAGATCATCTTCTATGTTGCTGAAAAAAAAAATTGATCAGAGTCCTCCCTGATGCCATTAGCAGCAGCTGCCTCTCTTTCTTTGGCAGTGTCACTTCCTCTCATGTGTGTGTGTGTGTGTGTGTGTGTGTGTGTGTGTGTGTGTGTGTGTGTGTGTGTGTGTGTGTGTGTGTGTTCTGTTGTAGGGATGTGACATTTTTATGATCCATCAGGAAATCCCACAAAGTTTATGTCATGACATAATCACTATTTCTACATATTCTGTTCCGGCATAACCAAGCCTCTGGTTAGCACACAGTCGTCATCAGCCCAGGAATCTGTTGCACAGGAATTGTTGTGGGAGCCGTCGCATATGAAAGTTCATGTGTCGGAGTGTGGACCCACATCTTCTCCTCCCACTGCTCTTTTTTATCAAATGAGCCAAAATAACTGTTGTGACAGCTAAGGTCAGTGGGAAAACAGCGGCGTTGTAGGAGTGTCAGTTCAAATAAACCCAGCTGTCACTGTGACAGGCTCCGAACCTTTCTGGAAAAACAATCTGATTCATATTCAAATTCACAACTTTTGTTGATCATTAACCATCTGTCCAACATTTTCCCCTCATCACTGTGTTTAAATAATGACGCTCTTCCAAACACTGTCTGGTGTCTGTAAATTCTACTCACAATCTTAATTTAATCCAACACATGAATGGCTGATAATGATCTGCTGTGCTTCATATATACACTACCGTTCAAAAGTTTGGGGTCACCCAGACAATTTTGTGTTTTCCATGAAAACTCACACTTTTATTTATCAAATGAGTTTAAAATGAATAGAAATTATAGTCAAGACATTGACAAGGTTAGAAATAATGATTTTTATTTGAAATAATAATTTTCTCCTTCAAACTCTGCTTTCGTCAAAGAATGCTCCATTTGCAGCAATTACAGCATTGCAGACCTTTGGCATTCTAGCTGTTAATTTGTTGAGGTAATCTGGAGAAATTTCACCCCACGCTTCCAGAAGCCCCTCCCACAAGTTGGATTGGCTTGATGGGCACTTCTTGCGTACCATACGGTCAAGCTGCTCCCACAACAGCTCAATGGGGTTGAGATCTGGTGACTGCGCTGGCCACTCCATTACAGATAGAATACCAGCTGCCTGCTTCTTCCCTAAATAGTTCTTGCTAGGGGTGGGCGATATGACGATATTAGATCGTGAAGGATTACAACGTGAAGACCATCTTTCAAACTGCAGAGATCGTGGGATCGTCTAGGGCACATTCTATAAATTGCAGTTCTATGCTGACGCACCGACGCACCAGACGTATTGACGTCGTCAACCTGACCGACCAATCATAGCGAATTACGGGCAGTGACGCGCTTTCCTACCCGCCTCCTTGTTTGTGTGTGTAGCGGTAGCACATGGAGAGCGATGGCTGAAAGCCAAACGGAGTTGGTCGTTAAAAAAAATTCCACCTCCATTATATGGAATTGGTTTGGATTTTCCGCAACTGATCAAGCGCAAGCAAATGTAATTTGCAAAGTTTGCACAGAAACCGTTCGCACGTCGGGTGGTAACACGACGAACCAGAATGTTGTTGTTGTTTACCTTAAACTTTACGTTATCTGCACATGCAGGCAAAACTGCGACTATTTGAAATAAAATCTGTTAAGAAAGGTTCTTTGGTCTAAAATTGTCTGTTTTTCTTTTTCCAATTTAAGATCGTGATAAAATCGAAATCATGATTTTATTTTTAAAAAATCGTGATATGATATTTTTGCCATATCGCCCACCCCTAGTTCTTGCATAATTTGTGTGATCCAAACACCTCAAACTTTGATTCGTCTGTCCATAACACTTTTTTCCAATCTTCCTCTGTCCAATGTCTGTGTTCTTTTACCCATATTAATCTTTTCCTTTTATTGGGCAGTCTCAGATATGGCTTTTGTCTTTGCCACTCTGTCCTGAAGGCCAACATCCCGGAGTCGCCTCTTCACTGTAGACGTTGACACTGGCGTTTTGTGGGTACTATTTAATGAAGCTGCCAGTTGAGGACCTGTGAGGCGTCTATTTCTCAAACTACAGACTCTATTATTAATCTACTATTTCTCTTTCTACTCTGGTTAGAGCCTGTTTGTGCTGTTCTCTGAAGGGAGTAGTACACACCGTTGTAGGAACTCTTCAGTTTCTTGGTAATTTCTCGCATGGAATAGCCTTCACTTCTAAGAACAAGAATAGACTGTCGAGTTTCACATGAAAGTTCTCTTTTTCTGACCATTTTGAGAGTTTAATCAAACCCACAAATGTGATGCTCCAGATTCTCAACTAGCTCAAAGGAAGGTCAATTTTATAGCTTCTCTAACCAGCAAAGCTGTTTTCAGCTGTGCTAACATAATTGCACAAGGGTTTTCAAGGGTTTTCTAATCATCCATTAGCCTTCTAACGCAATTAGCAAACACAATGTACCATTAGAACACTGGAGTGATGGTTGCTGGAAATGGGCCTCTATACACCTATGTAGATATTGCATTAAAAACCATTTACCACATTAACAATGTATAGAGTGTATTTCTGATTAGTTTAATGTTATCTTCATTGAAAAACAGTGCTTTTCTTTCAAAAATAAGGAAATTTCTAAGTGACCCCAAACTTTTGAACGGTAGTGTAAATGTGCAGTTTCCAGTGTTGATCTGCTGTTGTAATATAATGGAATAAACGCAGCAAACATGAGTCCACTTTGAGTCTCTGGACAGACGAGGGGTGGGGGGCTCTTATTTTGAAGCAATCACAGGAAACTAAATGTATTTGCCAGTGACTGAGTTTCATCAGGGAGTAATGACCGTGTGGAAGACGCCTGGAAGAACACGGCTGCTCGTCGTGGTGGAAACTTCATTATTAAAACAACATGTGTTAGTATGAGTCTACAGATGCACCAGCTCTTCTGTTCAGTTGATCGTGGACTGTTGCTGTTACGTGGTAACAATGGACGTCACGAAATCAGACATTTTAGGGATTACCACTTTATTTATACCTTATCTAATATTTTGGATGATTGATCATTTATGGTACAAATGCTGCAGTTACACTTGACCTTTCATTTGTTTCTTATGCAGATACTACGGTGGCCGGCGAGGGCCAACATGCTGCAACGACCCAAAACACTTTCATCAGGAGAGACGAGCTGCAAATTCAGAAACGATGCAGATTCAAAAACACATGAAAACACAAAACAAATACAACAACGGAAAAGTGTTGCAAATGAAAAAAGGTGCTGCATGAAGACAAAACAAAGACATGAAGGACAAACACGCTGCAAATACAGAAACGATGCAACAACAGAAACACAAGAGTGTTCAGGCAACAGAACAGCGGAGAAGAGCTCCGGCCTCTAGGGGGGGCTCTAGGTGGAACACCTTGAGTAGAAGCTTGAGCTTCGACCCAAGAGGCCAGACCTACGACCTTTGACCTTTGACCAAACGAGAGAGTATGAGGGAGGAAAGAGGCGACAAAAAGGTTTGTGTTCTTTTTGATATTTGGTCGTAGTTTTTTCAACATTACAAAAGAGCAACAGAAAAAGTGTTAGGATTAGCTTATATACAGTCTGTGGGGGTTCCACTGAGAGCTCCCCCTACAGGCCTGGAGCTCTTCCATTGTGTTGTCTGGATATGCAAAGTTTTTTGCCTGTTGCATTTGTTTCTCTGTGTTTTTGTTGTTGCATCGTTTCTGTATTTGCTGCGTGTTTCTTTGTTCATGTTTTTGTTTTTACTTCCTGCAGCACGTCATTTAATTTGCAGCTTGTTTCTCCTGGTGGAAATGTTTTGGGGCGTGGCGGCGTGTCAGCCCTCGTCAGCCACCGTAAGATACATAAAAAATATAATAATATAAGTTTACACAAACTAGAACTGTCAATCACTTGAACCAGGATAGAAATGAAATGCCTTTGTCATTGGGAATCTCCATGACAGTTTTATATTACAAGTCCACTGTGTGAGACAACATCTTGACCTGATGGATGAATATTATGTTTCTGACCCGGCTTCCTTTAGCATTTTGTTTTCCCAGTACGAGAGTGTTTCATGAAGCGTCTCAGACTCTCCGTTTTATTTTTAGCCGGCTACTTCAGGTGAGACACAGCTACTGCTGCAGCCACAGACTCCCGTGTGGCGGCAGAAAGTGACCCTTGCTTGTATTTATTTCTGTGTAAATCCCACATCGTGTTCCCTCTGGCAAAAACACAATCATTTCTCCTGAATAATTAACTGCCCGGACCAGAGCAGTTGTTGAGGAGAGGAGACTATAAACTCCGGCAAATTCATTACAATAAAACTGTGAAAACCCAATTGACTGTGTAGAAGTGCACAACTAATTACAATCAATGCAGCAATTGTTTTTATATGGAAATAAAATTCATGTTTAATTTGGGTCTGCCCAGTTATTTTATATTGCATTCAGGAGTTACACTGGTGACAGGTGCCTCCTGAGGCAGGTTGAACCGGCGGCTGGACGACGTCGCCCTTTTATAATTAGCACTTTAGCGCATCCACAGATCTCTACTGCCAGAATACATTGTTCTGTTTCACTGAACAGAACAAAGACCAGAGTCAGACAGGAGCCAGGGGTAAATACACTCACCTAAATACAACCATTGCTGTTTTACATGGCGGGCAGGCCAGCAGGAAGATCTGTTGAGAAAAGCAGAGAGAGAGAGAGAGAAATGAGAAACCCCATTATCACATTAAACACATTACTGTGCAGCTCCAACGCTTCAGGAGCTTCCAGCGCTCAGTGATGTGAGTAAAGGAAATGAACAAATTGCTTTAACAAAGTTTTTATTAATGTAATAAGCAACAGAACAGAGTATCTCACCGTAATTGTGAAATACCTCATGCTTCAAAACAAGAAAAACTAAATGCAGAGTTAAGACCCGGGAGGACGGTCACAAAGAGAAGAAATTCAAAGCATTAAAATGGCTGCCAGGTGTGTGGTACACGTGTATGTTACTGTCCGACTTCGAGGACTGTCAACTGAAACCATCTATGACTCACTGCTCATTCAACAGAGAGGAGGAACAGTGTGGACATGTGTATAATGTACTTCTGTTAATGATGGTGTTAAAAATGCAAATCCTGGACTCACGAGTGATTTACAGAAAACCTATAGATCTATAGATTCCCAGGTCCAGGTGTAGGCTGCTCATATTCAGTTTAAAACCGTTTGAACATGAAGCAGCAGCCAGTGTAAACTTGGTTTTGAATACCTTCATTCCTGGTGTCAAACATATTTGCATCAATAAGATGGCTTTGTTCTTGAATGTAGGTTTCGATCAGTGTGGCTTGTACATCTCATCTATGCTCAGTGGCTGTTTCTGGGGCCTGGAGGATGCTGCTGCAGACATGGATTGGTTCAAAACACCATCTGACACAAGACTGAGCTGGTTTGCCTGGAAGGCTGGAAACAGAATTACAAGAAAAGCAATTTACTTGAGATCTACTGTACAACCACCCGGCAGCCAGGAACCTTAGAGATACGTCTCAGGGATTCATCAGCTGTTCACCCAACAACTCGTATCAACCTGCACTGAAACACAACTACAGCTTTCTGCACAGACCGTCTCCAACAAACACAAGCTTTTAACACATTTAAATACATATTTAAGTACATATTCTCTCTCTCTCTCTCTCTCTCTCTCTCTCTCTCTCTATATATATATATATATATATATATATATATATATATTAGGGCTGGGACGATTATCTGACGTAATCGACATTGTCGATTATAAAAAATTATTCAACGTGGAATTTTAGTCGACGCGTTGTGTAAAACCACACATGGTAAATGTTCATAGAACAAAACTGGAACTTTCTAATGGGACCATTTATATCCATCGTCTTTGGTTTACCTGGATACAAGCGCAGCGCTTGGGCGGGGACAACGCGGTGACGTAATTGAAGTCATTGACTACGTGAATGATTTGCGTCTGTGTAATCTATTTGAACAACATGGCGGCGTCTACCAGCAGTAAGACGGAGCGTGTGGAGCAACACGCGGGCAAAAAGGCTCGCACACTACTCGCAAATTACTGTTAGGTTATAAAAAAAATAATCGTTAGATTAGTCGAATAATCAAAAAAATAATCACTAGATTAATCGTTTAAAGAATAATCGTTTAGGACAGCCCTAACATATATATATATATATACATATATAATACATATAATATAATATATAATACATACTATACATATACATATATACATATATGTATATATATACATATATACATATTTATATACATATACAATATTATATACATATAATATATATATACACATATATATACACATATATATATACACATATATACATATATATATATTACACATATATACATATATATAATATATATATACATATATAATATATATATATACATATACATATATATACATTATTTCTATATATATATATACATAACATATATATACATATATACGTATATATATATACATATATATATACGTATATATATATACAATATATATACGTATATATATAAATCATATATATATCTTAAATCTGTTTTCTTTCTATTTTTATTATCTACTTTAAAAATCAGATGTTTCCTTACTGTTCATATTTATTTCCAAGGATTAAAACAATCCATTAAAATGTTTTTTTTTATGAATAAATGATGGTTGTGGTCCTTGTAAATTCTTAAGAAGGATCATTACTGTCATTGTAGAGGTCTGTCTCATGTCAGAGACATCAACCCAGTTACACAAAGTTCTCTAATATGGAGTCTCAAAATGTTCAGGATTAAATAAATAAAAAGGAGATTATGAAATAAATTATCACATGAATTAATTATATGAATTAAGTTTTATAGAGATCATTTCTATTTCATGATAGAAATGTTTTATTTCAAAATGACCCTTTTTCCTTTAGTTGGTTTTTATTTTCATATTATATTTCATAACCAATGACACTTTTATTTTATGGCTCTTTTTATATCATGTTGCTGTATAGTAGATGACAGTGGTGTCGTCACTGCCCTCTCGCACGATAAAGACAAACTCTGCTGGAGCCGTTTATTTTTGAAAACACCGCTGGAGCCGTTTATTTGAAAACTCTGCTGGAGCCGTTTATCTTTGGAAACTATGCTGGAGCTGTTTTATTTCGAAAACTCTGGTTTGTGATTTAGGCGTTAGAGTTTCTGATATGGAGCTAAAACAGAGATCAAAACAGCGTTTTAAAACAAAAATGAAAATGTGTAGTAGTCGACGCAGCCTAAGACAGCAAGCTCAACAGCTGCTGCCAGATTTAGCCTGTTAGCTTCTGTTAGCTAACGCAACAGCAATGCTAAAGTTGTTCTAAATCAGCTAGTCACCACTGAGGCAGCAGCACCACTGTAATGAAAAGTGACATTACGAATCAAACATGACATAAAATAAAAAATGTCACCAGAAAAATGAAATAAAAAAACAGATTTTTGAATAAATGTCTTTTTGTACTGAAATGAAAGAAGCCCAATAAAAACTCTGTTGTTATTTCCACAAGGATAATAAAGTCAGATTTAATTCTGGTGAATTGAGTGTTTTAGTCGTTCATTATTATTCCATAATTTCTTATTTATTTTAATGGTGAACACTTCCGACTCCTACAGCTTGAACAAACCCACACACTAAGCTGAGAGTAGATTTAAATATGAACCGCGACCCGATGAGGCGATAAAGGGAACTCTGTCATTACGTTTCACCCACACCATATTTTGATAATGAGACAAAAGCATCTGCATTGTGCAAAGTTAATAAACATACTCAGACGCTTCCACAGTACACATCATAAGCTGACTCCAGCACTCACTCATCTAGTTACATGAAAAATAATTCAATCATAGACCTAGATCCCTAAACACTAGTCATGTCCTGATCAGCAAAAACAGCTATGAGCTCTCGCGCCTACTAGACACTCATGTGACATCTAACACATCAAATGCAGATTGTCCGAGTTGCTGACATCCAAGGGTCTAGCAGGCTGCAATACTAACCTAGTCTGATCACACCACTGCAGCAATAGTTGGAGCCCTGTTAGCATCGACGATGATTAAGAACTGAATGCAAGTTAATGCCAGTCAGGTTCCGACACACATGATCTGTCTCAGACAATACTTCCATTATAACAGATGTCACGGAAAAGAGGAAGACAGCTGGCATTTTCCAGATAGCAAGCGCCGTTACCCTTCAAAAGTAACAAACTCCTATACATCCACAACTGCGATTGACTAGCTGATAGTTATTTGCTAAAGTCAGTTATAATGATTTGAGAACGATGACTCATTGAGAAGATGACCGCTGTCCTTCCACACAGATGGCATACTGCAAGCAAAAACCCTATTCACATAAGTCAAAAGTTTGCTTTCCTATTTGGTATGTTGGGCAGTGGGCATTCCTAGCCATTCTGCTTCTACTCTTCCTTGTTTGCCGATCTACCAATTAAAAACCTTGCTGAGTAAGTTTTTAACAGAAATTTGACCTTTCAATTTATTCAACAAACTAAAACTTTGTTTAAAAAAAGGCAAGTACAGAAAACTCATAGGAAACTCTACGTGTGGATCGGTACTTAATTAAGGGTGACTGGAACTTGCGTTTAGTGAGTCACCAATCCAGCTGTAATGACATCTTGATTGTTCCTAAGTTTATCACTTCTTGTATAGGTTCTAATTACTCATTCATCATCTTTTCCATATAAGGCAATATAAAAATTATACAGACGCTAGATAATAAGATACAAGAGAGAAGCACCGGTCAGTTCGGATTATGTAGTGGTCTCTTGAATAGGTCATAAAAACACTCAGTTCAATCATTAAATAGCAAGCAAGTTACATTCGAGGCAGAAGTCAAGGTCTCATTCTATTAATCCAGTTGTCTGTGATCGAAAGAGTAACCTTATCATTTGGTTGTTGTTGGGTTGAACTTGGTGAATCTGTTCTGAAGAGTTTTCACTTCTGGCTGTTGGAGGAACGTATCACAGTCTAACCACAGCTCATTGACTAGATTCATCTGTTATTGTTGTGAATTAAAGAGATGAAAAAAAAAGAGAATTACTCTGTTACCTCAACACTGTGCACTGTGTTTCGCCATAACAACGGTTTTTATTCCTCGCACCAGCATTGACCTTCCTCAGAGGAAGCCGTTTTGTTTTCAGGTTGTCCGTGCGTTTCGTTCTCATAGACGTGATCTTTCTAGTAACGCCTGAAGGAACCTCTTCAAGTTATGCAACCAATGAATGATGAACTGAAAAAGGTTCAAGGTCAGTGTGACCTCACAAAACACGTTTACTCTTTACTCAAGACTTCACACAGAAATGATGAATAAATTTCACCCAAATGGTTCAGATTTTAAACAGGGATGTAACCTGGAACTAGTCTGTGTGGCGGAAGGATACAACCATGAGGAGGTGATTCTAGTTGTCATTGATTTTAAATGCCATCTGACTGAAATGCCTATATTTATATTATTATATATAGAAGCATTTAGCTTTTATATCTCTGTTCTGTAACTTTGAACGGCTTTGCACCACACACACCACACACACCAACACACACACACACACAGCACACACACACACACACACACACACACACAAACACACACACACACACACCACACACACACACACAG